TGGTTCCTTTCTTGTAAATGTTTCTGCCTTCAAGAACGCAGTTTGAATCGTTTGCCTCGCCCCTGCCTTGTGAGGACCAACCAGAGCTCGGTACGATAAAGCAACCCAAAAGAGAAAAGGGAAACTCGATTTTAACAAATCCCCTCCCAAAATATTTTTTAAAAATAAATAAATAGATAAATAAATAAATTATTAATTAATTAATTATGTAAATGATTATTTTTTTTAACAGACCTCTTTCCAAAAACCGAACTGACACCTTGTTCGGGCAAAGAGTCAGAGCATAAGCATCGTACACAGTAGTTGTCGGTCACAAGTCTCAGTATTTCAGGGGCGTTAAAGATATTTTTTACTCCTGGGACCTATAAAACATTCTTTTGTTTTCCCTTGGATCGTAAAAGAAAGAGAGGAACAGATATACTCGTTTTTACTGCAAAACTTTCGGCTTTTTCTGTTACCCTTTGTCCTAATTTTGAGAAGGACGAGATACGCCATAAAGTCATAAAGTGTTTCGAATCGTTTCAGGATTCATCAGTTAAGAGAAACACATTATACTTCCAAAGACAATCTTGATTTAAAACTAAAAGACAATATTACTATGTTGAAAGTAATCGAAATCATCATCAAGTTTTATCAGAATAAAAGAAGATGGCAGGAAGAGAAAGGAAAAACTGAAAAGTAAAGTATTCACCACATGAGTATTTGTATTTTAAGCTACCACTTGGCTGTTTGTTTTACTTAATCATGCGATACTGGTTTCCAACTGTGGTATAATCTGCGGGTTTCTCGTTTTGTTTCTCATTTATATGGATATCTACGTATTTCTCGTACAGTCAAATGCATGTTTTGATTCTCTTTTTCTGAATTTCAAAACGTTTAAAAGACTTTTGTAATTAAAATATCTTATTTGTAAAAGAAAGACCAAAGTACATGTAGATCCACATGTTTATCTGTCAAAGCAAAAACTGTTCTTACAAAATATTGTCATTTACATGTGCAGAGAACAGTGCACGCGAGGCATTCTTGTTTACTATTGCTTTCTTTAATTAGTCTTTTTTTTAATAATTCTTTTTTCCCCCTTTTTATGATTACCGTTTTAAACATTTTAGTGGATAGGATGTTATGTTTTGGGTGTTATTCAATCCACTCACATACCACCCCCACCCCAATTTCCCGCAAGATTGTTTTGTGTTTTTTTATATAATGAAAACGTAATGTACTGGAATATCGAAGAATTGTTTTAAAAAATTTCGGAAGCAAAAAAAAAAAAGCAAAATTAGCAATGCACAAATTTGAAGCCTTGAGATTGGATCTCACTCAACAGTTAGACAGATGTACAGCCCAGTCATGACATGACTACCTCCACGGCTTGGGTACTACACCAGAGTACATTTTGTACTGCCCTAAGCTGACAAAACACCTTTTTTATTTTTGGCGCCAATTTTTTAATTATTTTTTTTTCCTTTAAAATCAATAGCCGGAGCAGTTACCCTACTGATTTGAAAGAACCAAAGTAAATCTAATCTCGAGTCGAAACTGCTGTGAAGAAGAAGAAGGCGTTTTGTCAGTGTTCGGCAGAGTAAGTGGTCCTCCCAGTTGCCAGGCTGGTCCTCTCGTCACGGGAAGCTTTGCAAAAACGTCTGGTGCAGAATTCTCGTTTGATGGTTTATTTAGAAATTATCCTCACATATTTTGTTGCCTTTCCCTGTATTCTACATCATTATTACCATCATCATCTTCATCATCGTCTTATCGTCGTCGTCACCATCATCATCAAAACAACAACATCACCATGGCATTTAGTAATAACCATGTTATTTTTATCGGTAATTAGTATATTGGTATTATTATTATATTATTATTATTATTATTATTATTATTATTATTATTATTATTATTATTATTATGGATCATCATCATCATCGGTCTACTCTTATTGTAATATTTATTTGTATTTGTAGCGTCTATATATTACTGTTTTTATCATTATTATTTTTATTATTATTATAATTATCATTATTATTATTATTAGGCCGTATTATAATTATTATTATTATTATCGTCAGTATTATTAATATCATTATGATCATAATTATCGTTTTCAGTATCATATTTTTTAAACTATTAACATTATTATCTACACCATTTTTAGTAGATACATGTAGAAGTGTCAAAACCATCATCATCATCATCATCATTAAGGCCTATTTTTAAACAATATAATTTATTATTAGTATCATCATCGTTTTCATCATCTTATTCTATTTTTATTATTATTATTATTATTATTATTATTATTATTATTATTATTATTGTTGTTGTTGTTATTGTTACTATTACTATTATCATTATTGTTATTATTATATTTATTAGATAGTATTTTTATTTTTATTCAGTAGACGGAAAGTCTTCACTTTTATCTTTTGTCAATTGTAGAAGTCATTACCCCCGTCCCCCACACCCTCTTGTCTGTTTCGACTCTCGGGAAGCGAAACACGTGAGAGCAGAATGTTTTAAGTAGGGTTTGAGATCTTGGTTAAATTGTTTCTGCGTTTATAGAGGCAAATTGCTGTAACCCTATATCAACCTCAGTTGGACTCAAGATGTGATACGTTGTTTTCAAGTTTCAAATGGTTATGTTTTTATTCTCCCCTGACCTCACGTTGGCTTTGTGGGTATTTCAATATGCTGAAAATCTTGTTTTATATCGAGTAGTAACCATATATATACATGAATGTATATACCATTTCCAACCGCGATGTCTATGTCATAATTTACATTGATGAATCATCAGGAAAAATGGTTGTTCTTTTTGTTTTAACCCATGACTTGATCAAATAATGGTTTGATCACAAACTGCATGAAAATTTGAGTTAGTACCATTACGTTTCTTTATTCTTCGTTATTGTACTATGAGTCATTGTAAATGCGAAAATAAAATGCTGAACACCAATCGAGAAATTTGGTTTTGATTGTGAGGTCTCTCTCTCTCTCTCCCTCCCTCCTTCTCTCTCTCTCTCTCTCTCTCTCTCTCTCTCTCTCTCTCTCTCTCTCTCTCGGGTGCTCTGGTGTGGTTTGCTTCTTCTTTCCAATCAAACATCTATCGTCCTTATCTCCCCTTCTTCTTTATTTATGTTTGTTACTCTCTTGTAACATCTCTAATCTTCCAGCGCTCATATGACCTTACTTATGCAGTTTCGAGGGCCGTAAAACCTTTACTAAACAAAACAAAAAACCAGGAGGATAAGGCACCTTTAGTTTAGATCCCAATGCCTGTTTCGAAACTGCTACACGAACACTGTGGTAGTGAAAGATGTGTTGTTTTGTTTTGTTTTAGTTGTTTGTTTGTTTTCTGGGGGGGTGTCTGTTTTAGTAATCGTTTTATGGTAGGCCTACTTCATTGCAACACAATTTGGTCATTTAAGTGCCAAAGATTAGACGTGTTACAGGTGAGAAACAAATACAAAAAAGAAGGAAGAGAAATGACGATAAATGTTTGACAGGAAGGGAGGAGCAAACTATACCAGAGCACCCGCCAACCACCTACTTGAAAGATGTACCCTCATCCCCACATCACATACTACAAGACAGTGTTGACGATGGGCGCTTGACAGGTGCTCTTCTGGTTATCATCATCATTGCCTTTCTCACCCTGCACCAGGGTACATGATTTGTACAGGCCATGGACAAACACTTTCCACCTTTCTCTATTCTTGGTTAGCCTCTTGCTGTTATTCCAGAATCCATGTCTTCCCACTTTTCTGTACATCAATTTCTGTGATTCTTCTCCAGGTTCCACACGGTCTTCCCCTTGATCTTTTATCCTGTGGATTCCAACCCAACACTTTCTTCGTTATGCAGCTGCCTGGCTTCCTGATAGTATGTCCGATCCATCGCCTCCGCCTTCTTCCTACCTAGAGCTAATCTCTGACCGGGATCTGTCTTGGTTTCCTTAACACTTCCTCGTTGTTGACCCTGTATGTCCATCTGATCCTCAGTAACTTTCTTAGACACTTGTTCAAGAAAACCTGGATCCTCTTTATGCAAGTCTGCGATGCGTTCCATGTCTCACATCCATACAACAGGACTGACTTCACATTTGAACTGAAAACCCTCAGCTTCGTTCGAAGGTTCTTCTGGTGTTTGTAGGGTAGGCCTATTGGTTAGACCCTTCGCAGGTGCAAACAGATAGGCTACATGTCAAAGTTCGAATCTCAAGAAGGAAAGTTATCTTATCGAGTGCATGTATCTCTCCTGAAAGGCAATATTATCATCCTCTCAGCCCAGCTTGGCCCTGGCTGGCAAGACTGAGGCAGCCCTCCTAAGTGATCTTAACTTTGTCTTTGAGAGGTATAAAGCTTTTACAATAATGACAAGCACTCTGGCAATGCCTCCACTTTCAATCTCTCTTAGGTGCCACTACATCTACATTGTACAAGTTTCTACTCAGCTCCTGAAAAAACTGTGGGTCTATGTCAAGACTAGCTTATCATTGTAATATTGGTCAGTAGCCGGAGGAATAAAATAACTGACCAACCCCAACACAGGCTAAGACATGTCTGCGTGAACTTATAGAGCTAATAACTCGTGCCGCTGATTGGCCGCATCATATATAAACAATGGAATAAGCGAAAGATGGTTCACCATGCAGGTGCCATGGATGGTCTCCAGAAACATAAGATTTGTTGCGGGAGAAAAATGAACGAAGCCCCGTCAGTGGAGCCTGTTCACCCTGCAAGCGACTTCATTGAATCCGAGCTTTCTCATTGATGTGTTCGTTGAATCCGAGTTGTTGTTATTGGTTTTTATGAATTTTTAAAAAACGGGAAATCCAACTTCTTTCGTTGAATTCGATTTCGTTAAATCCGAGTTCCACTGTGCAAACCTTGTTCATCTTTCATCACAGAAGGTACAACAAAATTTGACCCCAAATAAGAAATGTAACAGGTAAATTATTGAAGTAAAACAAAAATTAAAACAACAAAGACCAAGACTAAGAATCAATTAGTGAAATTGACTTTAATTACTAACACTCTCAAAGTTCCAAGATCAAAACAACAATAGAGAAAGGGAAAAATCAAATAATAATAATAACTCCACAAGTTGTTTCTGCAGAAAGTTCCTATCAATTTAAACATATCGTCAGTGTTAGGGTTAGCCACATATATTGCTACTTACTATTGGCACTGCAAGGACATGAAAGATTCAACTGATTAAAATTGTGGCTCAAAAACAAAAAACGTTACTCTCAAATTGAAAACAGATAAAGCAGGCAACCCCATAAGAGCCTGAAAAAGGGATGAACCTTAATTAGTTTCAATCTACTGAGAAACAGAAAAGATGGCTGATGAGATCATCCCCTATCAAAGAAATAATAGGACAAGGCCTGTCGGATGCAGGAGAAAGCTAAGCTGAACAGAAACTACAGATGGTATCAAAATCCACTGTGACTAGTCCTTGGCATTACATCTGCTATCACTCACGGTAATCAGAGCTCGAGGGTGCCTCAAGTCAATTTACCTTCAATAATGACAAAACATGAGTATCTTCTTTCAAAAAAACCTAAAACTTTAAATTATACTAAGCACCCACACATCAACTTCAGTTTGGCAACAACAAAAAAACAACCAAAAACAAAAAACGGCCCCTGAAATTTTCAAAGCATTACATCTGCCCTCAGCTATTAAAAAAGTATTAAAAATGATGGCGACAGGACCAGTTAAAGAGTGACAGAGGGATAGGTACATAGGTATATAGACAGATAGAAACAGGTAGGAGAAACCTCTCTGCTTGGTTTCCCAACCACAAACAGTTAAAGCAGCTGCATTAAACAGTATTCTAGAGTACAGAGGAAAGACTGTTAAGAATCTTTGGTAGAATTGCTAAAATGGGCAGGAAAATGAATTTAAAATAAAAAGGAATACAAAAGGATAAAGTAGGCAACACATATTCTATGACAAGAAAAAAAATTGACAGAGAAGCCCAGAGTAGATGCCCATAATATCAGAATACACTCAGAATTCAGAACAAAGAAAATCTGTGGTTGGTTCCGTAGCAAGACAGCCCCCATCAGGTCAGAAAATATCAAAAAGACATCACTTCATTTTTTTAAATCAAACTCAGAAGCAGGAATCAAAGGGGCTGCATTTTTGTTTTGTGCTTTCTTGTGTCCATCACAAACGCTTACTACAAGTGGCAATACTGACTTTACAAAGGGGCTTCTCATTTCAAAACCCATAATTAACACACGGAGATTAACAAAACAGAATTAGGTACTATAATAATATTTGAAGCTGGCTCAAAAAGAAATTGACAAGAAGCTCTTGGTATTTTCTTACACCAAAAATCAAGATTAAGGAGATTGACAAGTAGAATATCGGAAAATGTTAGTTCTTTATGTTCTTTTATAACTACCCTAAAACAAAAATTTTCAAAACAATTTAAATCTCATCACAGTCAACTCAAAGAACAGAAATATGTGAACAAGCACTTCTCCTTCATTGGTCGGTGTCACCAAAAACAGTTCACATACTGCCCAATATATGGTGCTTTTGCACTGACTCACCGAAAACTGCAGCCAAGCAATGGCCGGTGTATGTCAGCTCACTGCTAGTTCACAACACAAGGACAAATTAACAAATTACACAGAACGTAGACTAAGTTTGGGGACAGATTTTCCAAGACCCCACATATTTGAAACCTTTGAAAAGTTATCATCAAAATCAAAAAATGACGAAAGAGGAATAAGATCGAGAATTTTTTTTGGTTTTTATGTAGGTGTTTTTATGCCCATATCAACACAAAACCAGCCAATTAGTGTTGTCCTGTTTATTTTGTTTATTTTTTAAATCTTATTTCCAAATAATTTCTTCTTTAATTCCTCAAAAACAAGTTTTCAAGAGAAAGCCAAATGAGGGCACTGCTACTTTTTCAGAAAGCTCAAATGGCTACCTCACATAACATAGGTAAATAAATTATCAAAACCAATATGTCATGTGTAATTAGCACTGACATTCAATAACTCAGAAGTCAACTACTGAGAAGTAGCTTAAGACCATCTGATTAGAACCATAAATATACTGACTGAAATGAACATTTTGATATGTTCCAACACCGGATAAACCAACAAGGGTGTCACACAAATCTTCAAACCATTTACAACTTTCTGTTTCTTTACTGTCGATATTTCCCATTCATTATCAAATTTTCTTACATGTCTTGTGGTCAATAACTGTGGCGTAGGGCACACTGTAGTCTAGAAACTTCCTTAAAATCACTTCATACACCGTTACTGATTGCTGCTACCAAATCTTCGCAACTCAATCATGGCATGAAGACTTATAGTAATGCCTTATCAGTCATGCCACACAGACTGGCAATCTAACCTTCCCATTATGGTTTGAAGACTGACAAACACGTCTTCTCATCCTGCCTGCCTTTGGAAAAGACAGACAATCATTCATTCCAATCATGGCTTGAAGATAAATAACCATACACAGTCACAAAATGGGAGATGGATAAGGTGTGCACGTTTACACAACGGTAGCACAGCTGTCAAGACTGTGAACAGATCATTGCTGTATCAAAAACGGTAATCATGATGTACAAAAACATGGCACTGGCCAAACTTATTAGAAATGATTCTAAATAAGCGAAGTTGAAATAAATATAGAGACATTTGAGATAAAATTAAAGGTGAGTGAAAGCACTCAGCTTGCTTTTCAGTTCTGTCCCAGTGATAGGACATAACATCATTCCAGCAAGACTTTTGAGCAAAAAGCAACAGTAATTTTGCTGTAACTCATTTAATTTCATTGAATCTTAACTTGCACAAATTTTTTACTTAAAGTAAGTGATGAAAAAAGCAAAAACTTGAGAAGAGTAATAAAATAAATATGAAATACTTCAAGTAAGTATGCTATTGACATATCACTTTTAAAAGTGAATTACAAACAACCAAAATAAATTCAAGTCCACCCACTTACTTTAGTTTTTTTCCTCATTTCTCACAAAAGGATTTTCCTGTTTAATATTTTCAAGACCTTATTACACACACAAAAAAATGGACATGTAACAGTATTCAATACAGCACAAAATCGACCATACAGTTAATACGACCTTTCTTTTTTAGGATGAACGAAAACATGCCTAAAACATAAGGTCGGAAAATGAACAATCTCGGAAATAAAAGTTACTTTGCCACTAGTTTGTCCGTAGAGAGAGTATATATATATATCTTCCAATTCAAACGTGAGCACTTAAAATCAGCATACACAAGCATGTGCTCAGGTAGAAGTTGCTCTTCAAAGTAACTCTATTTATAATTTTTCATGTCTAAACAGCAATAAACTGCATAGCTGATTTCTCAGTTCATTAATTTTCTTTTGATAAGTCTAGCCATCTCTTTAATGTATTGATTTTCTCTGTAACAATCAGGCATATTTTAAGGACATTAAATAAAAAACCGGCTAGCTCAAGCGTAACCAAACCAAATGTAAGTACTCCAGCTCATCTTCGCAAGTCACACAAAAGTATGTAAAGAGACAAAAGAAATTAAACGACTTATTTCATTCATGGAAATAAACCCCAGAAGCAGGAAACAAAAAAAACAACAAAAAAAAAAAAAAGAAGAAATTTATAAAACCATGATATAGAAACACTGACATCATACCAATGCAACCAAAAATTTCAAAGAGTAACACATAACAAAATTATATATATATAGTAAAGTATCACATACATCATAAGTACACAAATTAAAAGAGTGAAGCTGGACAGAAACAAGGAAATGTCATTACACTGAATATGGAGACTAGACGTGTACACACAAGAAAGCCAATCCACTGACATCGGTCTTTCATCCAACACACACACAAAAAAAGTTCCAAGAGACCATGTCCTTGTCAGACAGACTGCGTGTATTTCATAGATCACAGAACTGAAAGCACACAACACTTCCAGCTATGGCATCATTATCAGGTTTGGGCAGTGGCCCAGCTCTGCAATAAGATCTTTAGAATGATATAAAGATCTATAAATACATACACCTGCGGCATGGAAAACGCTATAATTTCTTTCCACTTTCCACCATGATTACAAAACCTAGGCTAACTTTACATCACAAAATTGTTCCCTCATAGAAACCACATTTCTAAAGAAAGTACTCATCAAAGATGGCACAGCACAGAGCTGGCACAAAAGTCTCATAGTCTTCTTCCTCACCAGCTTTCACTAGGTCAGGAAAACAGCCTAAAAACCCAAAATCTAAAGCTTTGTTACCAATATTTTGAAGGTACCCATGCGGGAGATAGAAGTCAACAGTCGTGACATGACACTGGAACTTTCAGGTAGATAGGCCAAGCTATTACTATTAGCTGTTACCCTCTACATCAGAGTAAGAACTTCTTGATTAAGGAGACAGAAATTGATAATTTCAAGAGCACAAACTATGCCGCACGGACAATTCAAAACGGGCATGGTCCCATATTACATTAGATAAAACACTCCATTAAAATTATAATGCTTCACAATAATACTCAGAGTAAGTTAAAACAGACAACCAAGCTCATTTCGGTGATTCAAACTTTTCACATATCTGTACTTCATACATATAAGAAACTAAACTGCTATTACATGGGACTCAAGGCAGAAGCTCTGTGGTTGTTTCTAACCCGCAATGGCCCTGTATAGCCAGCTTTATACAATTAAGGTGTCTATAGTTCTATACAATTAGGACATTTGGAGCCATAAAACTGGGATGCATATAATTCTACCCCACAAACGCAAGCTAAAGGACTACAGCTACCCCATGACAATGTCAAAAAGACAGAACAGGTTACCCCAGATTTTGAAAACCACAGCCTATTGCATGCACTAGAAGCATTTATCACCAACATGAAAGTATACAGGTAGCTGACAAAAAGCAACATCAAAGTGGAGACCATTCCCTTCTCAATGATGGATGTGAAACCCAAGAGAGGGAAGGCAGAAAGCTTACAAAGAGCACAGCTAACACAGTGTTTATCAAAGTAGAAAACCTAGACACCACTACAAATGTCACTTGGTGGATCCTAACATCTCCCGTTTCTTATCTGCGACACTTTGCACATGTGTTAATAAAGGTCATATCCGATTCTGTTTCCATCGGCATATGCATGCAGGCGTTGCAGTTCCCAAATGTTCAGATTTAATACCAGATCAAGCCAGATAATAAAGATAAGGATTCCAAATCCAAACAATAAGAAGATTTCCGTATTACGGTAGTGCTTTATCTGGACACATGACGGGAACTGTTGCTGCATGATGCATTTAGGGAGTATCAGCTGGTTTTGCAGCACCTGGGCTCATATTCAGAGTTGATCTGAAAACAGAAGAAAAAAAAACAGTTCGTAACCATTTAATAAATAAAAAATCATATTTCATCAAATTTGTTACCTCAGACAGATACAGTTGAATTGCCTAAGACAGCCATCCAATCTCTAAGTGGTTGTCTTAGACAGGTGACTTCCTGGACAGTGTGATTATAATACAGAAAAACACAAGGGAGGAAGTGGTCATTTGTACAGCTGGCTGTTAAAGCATGTTCGACGATATTTTAATGCTTCCCAATTTACTTCACATTTAAGTCTATTTCCCCCAAAACAAAAACATAATCAAAGAAGTACATCATAAAAAAATTATCATTAAGTGCAGGGATAAAACAAGACAGGAACCCTCCAACCACCCATATTGTTGAATCCTCACTAACTGTGAGTTAGCATGACCACAACCTCATTTAGCCAGGAACACATTAGGAAAAAAGTAACACAGAACAGAGCAGGAACAGATCCCACCACCACACCTTCTCCAACCTCGTATTGCATACAGACGTTAGTCATTCTTGGCAACTTTTGAGATACGTCTGTAAGCAATACTGCCCGCGAACACATGAAACAAATAATTCCCCACCTGTTGTGCTTGAGATGAGATTTGACCAAGTGGCCCGCAGCCAGGGCAGACATGAGTGAGAGTTCTCCGGCCATCACGGTAGCGCAGATGATGGATGCCAGACGGCGGGCGTTATCCCCGGGGTTCTCTGCATTGGAGCCTTTCACACCCAGCATCTGTGGAGTCAGGATGATTTTGTTTGAGTTTTTTTCCTCCGTAGAGTATTACTGTACTTGCAACAAAATAAGGACAGACAAGTGCCGAAAGATTAGAGGTGTTAGAAGAGAGTTAATTTTAGTTTGGTTTTAGTAGAGATTTTACGTCGCTCTCAACTGCATAAGGTCATATGAGCGCCAGAAGATTAGAAGTGTTACAAGAGAGTAACAAACACAAAAAAGAAGGAGAACAGATAAGGGCAATAGATGTTTGATAGGAAAGAAGGAGCAAACCACACCAGAGCACCTGTCAACCACCCATTGTTTGAGTTTAGATAAGTACATTGACACAATAATGGCATGGTCATTAAGCGCAGGGAAACAGATGGAGGGGCAGAAAAGAAGTAGGACCTATCACTGGTGCCCTCCAACGACCTGTGAGGCAAAATGAGTATACTACATGAACCAGCATGGAGTTTGAATGTGACAAGCACAGCATACACGGCTGAATTTTCCTAGCAAAGTCAAAAGCTTTCTAACATCAAATCTGACTAAAATGGTCAATAAAATATATTCTACTTCCCTGCACCCTGTGTGGAAATTTAAGTTAGTTGGTAGAGGTTTTACAGCGCTCGCAACTGCATATGGTCATATGAGCGCCAAGGGGTGGATGTCAACAGAGAAGTCTTTACAGAGAATCAGGCTTACTCTGCTCACCTCTCTAGCTTCAACAGCACTAAGTCTGCTCTGACTATCAAGGCACCCCGGAAATAGTGGGTCACAAGAGTATGACAAACATACAAAGGAAGTAGAGGAAAAATGACGATAGTCAGGATGAGGAAAGAAAAGGCAGCAGTTCCCTGTTGCAGTTCAGGCACAGTTATGAGCATGACATTGTTAAATCAGCCCATTTACAATTCTACTGAGCATAAGAACAAGTTAATGTCCCCCCTTTGGGAATGGCCTAAAGACACTTCAGTCAGTGGCACCGTCGGGGGGGATTTAAGTTAGAATGGCACTCATACTTAAACACCTATATACACAGATTAACATACAAAAAATACTTTGGAAGTATTCAAATACCTTGAAAGTGTGTTCACCCAAGACAGAAGGATAGACAGAGAAAGAAACAATGAAAAAGGTCAGTGCCATGATTTACAAACTAGCAATATTTCTATTACTTTCCCATCTTAACATTACAAGAGAAACAAAACGCCAATTTAGACTCTTACCAACACTGTGCTACCAAGCCCAAACGTGGACAATAAACAAAAATCACAAAATTAATACCTATGAATATGATGCCTAAGCAAAACTTTGAACATCACAAGAAGAGACAGGGTGAGGAGTGAGATTGCCAGAGAACAAGTTGGCTCAATTCCCTGCTTGCAATACATAAATAAACAGTGAATGAAATGATTTGGACGTCTGTCAAGACTATCACCAGACAGTGCAGCAGCGAAAGCATTCATCTAGAGATCAGATGAAACATCTAGAGATCAGATGAAAATAGAGGAAGAGGCAGACCTAGGAAAAGATGGAAAGAGGGGGTCATAGAAACTTTAGTCAAGAACGACATAACTATGCAACAGAAATATACAAGAGAAAGAAATTTGTTAGGAAAAAGTAAAAAGTAAAAGTACCAAATACACAACATCATCGAGTCACTAATGCTCAACTGTGGGAGAGAACAAGCCAAAGGCCAATAAAGGAAGACAAACAGGTGAAGAAATGGAAATGGATTGGACACACCCTGAGGAGACCCCCGTCAAGCATCATCAGGCAGGCTTTAACGTGGAACCCACAAGGAAAACGAAAGAAGGGAAGACCAAAGATGACATGGAGGCGAGCGGTACAAGCTGAAATTGAAAAAACGGGGACATCAAGGAAACTGATAGAAAAGGATGCTCAGGACAGGCTTCGCTGGAGTAATGCTGTTGATGGCCTGTGCTCCACTGGGAGTTCAAAAGGGCAAGAGAAGAGACACAACATCATACCAACATAATTTTACAAACACCCATTGCTGGTTGCCACTGTGTAGGGTTCTTTTTTTTTTTCATCTAGGATTACCATGTCTTGCTCAAGGACACACCCCAGTGACCACTCACCAAAACACTGCATCACCAATTTAAGCTTGACATTACTATAACTGAGCTCACTAACCACTCAGCCACTGGAGCTTTATATCACTTGTGACTAGGGTTTGACTTATTTGACTTAAGAGTAAGGAGAAGCACATTGACACAATAAGCCATTTAGTCCATGGAAACAGACACACGGACAGAAAACACAAGAAGAAAAAAAGAAGAAGAAGCAAGACCTAACAGAGGCACCCTCCACCCACACATTCAAAAAGTATCACACATCAAAACATAGTAAAGAACGAAACAAATTGGAAAAAGAGTTCCCACAAATATCAACTGCTGTTCGTCGAGGCAAGGGTGAAATAAAAATCAATATGCACCAAAACCGTGAGCCATTGCAAGAAAAAAATAAGTTCTAACCGCAAGTTGTGTAGTAGTCTATAACAAATGAATAAAGGATCCTTTATAATACTTACGTTGAGACAGGCTGCTTGAGGAGGAAGAATGGTTCCGCCCCCGACTGTGCCCACCTCAATGGAAGGCATGGTGCAGGAGATGTGCAGATCGTCATTAAAAGGACCGGAGGGTTCCATCAACAAGATGCAGTTTGAGCTGGAAATGTTCTGTGCTGGGTCCTGTAGGAACAGAAACAAGCATGGACTCACATATCACATAGAAGGGCTATGCTCAGGTCACTTACAGATTCTTGGCACTTTTGTCAAGGGAAAAACACATTTTACGAAAGTTGAAGAAAACATTATTTTCATCAAACTTCACTTCTCTTTTCAACCAATATAACACTGGGTGCTTCTTTTTAATTGATATCACACTAGAAGAAGCCGTGTGTTTTAAAATTCAACCAGTTGAGCCAATAAAACAGACAAATTTTCCATGCTCGGATATATTTGTTTTTGAATATATAATGAAACAAAGGCACAACAGACAACAAAAGCAAGTAATGAAGTCCTTACCTGGCCTGCAGCAATGTAAATGGCTGTGACAATGTTGGAGGCATGGGCATTAAACCCTCCGATGCTGCCAGCCATCGCAGACCCAACCAGATTTTTACTGACATTCAGCTCCACCAAAGCTGCCACAGTAGTTTTCAATGTGTTCTTCACCACAGTCGACTTCACAATGGCCTCACACACTACAGACTTGCCTCTGCCCTCGATCCTAGAGAAAAGAAGACAAAGTTCTTTCATTCAAAAGAGCCAAGGCTTTGGAGAAACAATCATTTAGATTAAACCAAAGAGAAGTACACTGACCTAATAATCATTTTGAGCAGCCAAAAGCAAAAAGACAGACAGAAGCAAAAGAGGGAAAGTAAAGAAGTAGGCACCAGTAAACCTGACACCCCCCCCCCCCCCTTCCCATTTGTATGAGAAAATGTGGTCTGTTGATTTACATGTAACTGTAATTTTCAAATTCAAATCCTTCCGTTATCTTATTCTGCTTTAGTCAGTGGGATATCTAATAAAGGGTAAAATAAATTTGATTCTTAAAATCTGCAGCAGCTGAACATGATTTATTGGATTGAACCTTTGTTTGAATAGATGAGAAGCACACAGACATAAAAAAGGCCATTATGTATTCGAACAAATGTAAAGACAGACAAAAACCAACAACAGTGCTTTCAACAGGTAAACCAAAAAGGTAAGAGCAATTCAATGACGGGGATCTGGGGGCTAGGGACAGCATCACATTTGGGGTTCAAGAGGTGAAGGCCCCTGACTGAAAAAATTGAAATTTTTCAGCTTTTAGGGGGGCTGAAAATACCATTTGGGAGTCTATTTGAAGAAGTTTTGTCTTGTTTTATCTGATTCTTCATCTAATACCCTTCCTGCCAATGTTTAAAAAATGTCCCCCTTTCCGATGCCACTATTTTTCAATGTGTCATTGTACCTTTTAGTAATCAACAAAAAGTAAATCAGTCAACTGGCTTAGACATTCATAACATGGCCATGGATTCCCTAGGGTGCCAAGGACATGGGTTACAGTCCAGTAGAGTATAAATGTAACATAAACAAAGGCGTGATGATTTTCTTGCAATCTCTGGTTCTGACCCCCAACAGTACGAGAATACTGATGGTAACTCTGTGGTCTAGGCCTATATTTAAGGATAGGAGTAGGGATATTGGTACGGGGTATTGATAAGGTTAGGGTAGTAATCATCACTTGGGTCAAAACCAGATTATCCAGATTTTTCTGATCAAAACACAGAATTTCCAGGACCTGTAAAGATTTGACAATAGACAGACAGAATGAGTCAATGAAAGAAAGGAGGAAGTGGCACAAAAATATTGCTATTATGATAGCCAAATTTTTGCCAATTTGCAAGTGGAAATGTATTGTCAACCAACAGCCGATGGGACAAAGACTTGAGTGTGCTGAAATGTGCAATCTGACAAGTTTCTTACGACTCAATGCCGACAGTTACTGTAAATATCCAAACTTCACCAAGTAAAAGGGGCAAGTAAGGAATCTTTACTAAGGAATACCAAAAGGCCAACGCTTTCATAACTTTTTTTACAGATGGATTTGATTGAGGCAGCAATGGAACTTTAATAAAGAACTGATTTCCATAAAAAAATACAGAAGATTGGAAGCACGCCAACAAATATGACAAAACTCAAATGTAACAACTTAGGTTTTGAGATATCCTTACCAGTTAATAGCTGCTGGCTTCTTGTCTGTACAGTAGTTTCCACTCAGACTGATGATTTCCATGTCGGGAAACTTTTCAGTCAGAAAATTCAAAGCTTTCTCAGAGCCCTGGGAGAAATGGAAAGCATAAGATTGCAATACTCTACACTATGCAAACCGAAATTTCAAAGTATACTGATACCGGGAAAACTTGTGCAGTAATAGAACTGTCATCAATGCAACTGCAGCTTATGCTTGCCACATCAATACAGATAATTATTTCTTTGGAAGCCAAGGGAAGGGAAAAAACACCAAAATACACATGTAATTATCAAACTTGACAAAGCATTTCAGCGGCAGCTATTGAATCCTGCTATATATTTGTCCAGAAAAGAATTCCACCGACATTAAACTTCAGAGTAGAATATCATAAAGCTATTTTACTGCACCCAAATTCACAACTGAATCTATTGAGGATTCAAAAATACCATGAACTTCCCACTTACAAAAGTGTTCTCAACAATCCTCACCTTAGACAACATGTTCATGCCCATGGCATCTCCTGTAATTGACACAAACCGAATGTACAAGCTTCGCCCCGCTTGGCCAATGTGGACTTTCTTCAGTCTAGCAAATCTGGGAGGGAAAATAAACAAAGCTATATAAAAGGAAACAACACCCCCAAACAAGACTTGCTCTTCGAGCCAGAGCTTTAACAGAGAGCATTATTTGATAAATGAGTCACAACACAGTGGAATCAGGAGCTTTCAATTTTGGGGCATATGGAGTTATTGGCATCACTTTAAAGCCTGTTCTTTTGTCTTGCTTTTGATGAAAACAATGCTCATTTATTTTTAATAGAAGTCAAGATATTTGCAATTGAAGGAGGGGGGAGGAGCACCAGGTGTCAGAGGCAAAACTTGCGAGAAAATGGCCGTCAAAGAGTTAAGCCTTTGATCAACCTTTTTCAGTAAAATCCACACAGAATGTTTTGAAATGGGCATAACACGGGTTGGGCAAAAGAAAAAAGTTTTTTTTTAAAGTGCCCATCGCCCAGAAAAATGTCTTTTTATTTCATTATTTTGACAACCGCCTTATATCATCACCATGCCTCATCAAATTACTGCAAAAACATAATAAAAGTTCAACAACCAGGGAGAATCATGAATGTTTAAGTACAAACTTATTTCTTCTCTACTCAGTAGAAGAATTGGATTCTTCATGAGAACTAAACTGACCATATTAATCAGAACCGTTTATTCAAAACATTTTCACAAATCCCAACATTCACAGGACTGATGTGACTTGTCAAGAGTAAAACTGAAATTTCAAATAAACTGGGAACTTGGACCTTAACCTAATCGCAAACAATCAGTGCAGATGAATATAATCTAAAGCTAAAATACATATCAAAGAGACAAGACAGCCTTTTTTCTCTTAAACTTAAACTAGTTAACATTCTCAGAGGTGAACCAAACTTAACAACTGACAGAACAGATTAGTCCAGACCAACTGTTTCACATTTTGATAGAAATATTAACTACAGCAGCTGCTCTCAAATTCATTGAGCTTACCTGCTTGTGGTATCAAAGCATTCTTTGACCAGATCAAAGTTGTCTGGAGTCTCCAGCCACTTTTTAATTTCACTGTAAACATGTAATACAAATAATGTCAGCTCATTATGTATACATTCAACTCTACAGAGAAGGTCATGATCTGAACCATTACAAAACTACAATCAGAATAATATGTACACAAAATGTGGCCTTACTCTGAACTATTAATAATTCTAATAAGAATAATATGTACACAAAATGTGGCCTTACTCTGAACTATTATTAATTCTAATAAGAATAATATGTACACAAAATGTGGCCTTACTCTGAACTATTATTAATTCTAATAAGAATAATATGTACACAAAATGTAAAACAAAACGTATCATTTTCTCAGCCAATATCAAAAACAGGAAAAACGAACAAATATCTACCAGAAGAAAAAATTTACAGCCTTGGAAAAAACTGCCATCTTCTGCCAAAATCTGACAACACATCCATTCAAAGGCACAGAAAATATCTATGCAGAAAAAAATAACCAATCAGTACTTTGTTTTGTTCACCAACATCCCTGCCTGAAAGAAGTGAGAAGTGTTATTCGGAAAAAAATGATGTAAAAATAAAAAACTATCTTTACATTTACATAATAACACCACAAAACAAACCTTGCTCTGACTGCCGTTGGGAATCGGACCACAGGACCTCGCGTCATTCCATCATTTGTGATACTGCTAGAAACTCCACCACTTTGCTGCAAACAAAATATGGCATCCCATTAAACTTTGCAGACTTTTGTGACGTGGATATAATATATATGCAATGTGAACGAACAGCATTCACAGTCAACAATGAATCAAAATACATTAACGGAATATAAAGTTGCTGACTCAACCATTGCAATTAAAGCCTACTCAAGAGTCGAAGTGGTCCATAATAAAAACCCTTGATGCGAATTTTTTTTTAAACAAAAAAAAGAAGGGATTTGATCTCATAGACTAGGTGAAACTGAGAGAATGTCATCTTTCTCACTATTCATTCATACCATATTTATTTCCATAATGAAAGATTTTTTTCTCAGCTCTAAGAGAAAGTATACTTCCCTCCTATACCAGATGTGATTCCCTCATGAAATTCCTTACCTCTAAAGCTCTGCAACCTCTGTTTGTACTAGCAACCAAACACCCCTCTGTGGTTGCCATGGGAACTTGGTACGACACTCCGTCCAAAAGCAAAGGTCCAGCAACTCCAACTGGAACGGGCATGTAACCAATCACGTTCTCACAGCAAGCACCTTCAACCTGGGAATAAACGAATTGACAAATTATTACAATATGAGCTAAACACATCAGTAAGTGCAGATCTTCAATTTTCTAAACTCTCTACATGAATAGGGAAGTAAAAGATTAAAACTTTTTTTAAAAAATGAAACCAACACTTGAAATCAAGGGGAAAAAACCTAATCAACAACAAAAAATAGCAAATAAAACAAGCACTAACGAGAAACAAGCAGAATGCACAAAGATAGTGTAAGAGAGTTAACAATTCCACATTTTGCTTTATTCATTACAATTCAGCAAAAAGAAGAACTTGCTGAGGAGACAGTTTCAGAGTACTGATTACTTCATAAGATCTTGTTAGGGTTGCCAATTTTTGAGTGAAGATGCACAAAAACACTCAACTGAACCTGGGGCAACAAAACAACAACAGTAGTAACAAAGAGACAGCACAAAGCATTTCACTCGTTGAAATCTGACATTTTCTGTACTTTGTACCATTGAGCAAGACCATAGACATGTTCCACTTACATATTTGTAATCATAGTGCATGAAGGGCAGTGTGTCCAGGGCATTTTTCACCTGCAACTGCTTAGACAGCATCTGTCTCCTGTAGTATCAAAGAAAACAAAAATTAAGTATGAATACAAAACAACAACAAAAAACATTCTTAATTATGGGTCAGGAATGACAACTGTGACAGTGCTTAAATGATAAACAAATTGTTTATTTTATAACAGGAAAGCGGCAGACAACCATCTAAGCCATAATGAAATGTTAAATGCACACATGAAATCAATCAGCCACAGGAAACAAAACGATTTCTAAAAAAGGACCTAACTTTTAATTCACAAATGGGAAGCAGGGCCTACCTGATAGCAACACCTCTGATGTGGTTGGCAAGCATACTCTCCAGCTTGTAAGAAGGGATGTGACGAGATGCAACCAGCATCTGTACTTCCTCGTCTGTCAGTGCTTCTGGACCAGCCTGGAATAAGACAAAATAATATAATGGTCTTTATATTGTCATGAAAACCAGCGACATGCACCAAGTTTTCTTGACCAAATGAACATGTTCCAATACAATTTCCCTGCATTTGTTTTGAGCAGGAAAAAATCACTAGTTACTATTAACTGTGAGGACAAAAGCAAAACTCAGTCTTTCTTGGACAGCAGATATATACCATTTTTAACTCAAAGGACTGAACATTTCATCTTATCAATTGTGAAAAAGCATGATTAAGTTCTAGAATCAAAAAAGTTTTCAATTTCCTAAGAGTCCAAAAGAATCACAACTGTCACAAAGGAGGCAGAATAAAGCAAAGTCCCACAATTTTAAAGGTGGAAAAACATTTTAAAAACCAGCCCCCTTTTCAGACCAATTTTTTTTTAACCAAAAAAATCCCCATTAACTACAAATGCAACTGCTTTGTGAGCAAGATGCGATGCATGTGTGTACGTATACTTGTGTGCGTGTGTGCACCTAAAATTTGAAAACGCCAGAGTAAGAACAAAAATTAATGCTAGTCACTTACATCTGAGTTGAGAATAGAGACACATTCCTCAAGCGGTCTGGGTGGCTGTTCGGAAAATGCGGGCGAGTACTCCATCTCTGACTCGGTTTGGGGCACGAGGGCCCCTGCAGCCCCTGCAGTCCCTGCCTCAGTCACGTCGTCTGTCTGGGTCTCCATGTTGTGAGTCTTGACCTTCTGTACGCTCCCGTTGCTCTTGTTCTCTTCATCGCTGCTGCTACTGTTCTCATCTTCTTGGTTGCCCAGGAAGAACGATGCAGGCTTAAAGTCAGGAGAAGGAGTCGGCGCTTTATGGCTGATGCCATTAGCTGAAAAATGTGTTTTTGGAGCTATATAAGTTGGACATAAAAAGAAGAAGCACTTTGGTGTGATAACCATCAATGAGAATTAGAAAAATCAAGCCACAGAACCAGAAACAACATAAGGACAGTGTGGACAGAATGTTCTCAAGGCTCCTTTCAACCACCTGTTTTTAGAGCTTGTCTTTATTTTTATCTAAAAAAAAAGAGTTTTTGTTTGTTCAAGACAGACATTAGTGAGATGAGTATATAGGAATATTCAGACCATTGACATTATATAACAATCAAATACATTATTAGAATGTCTAAAGATAGAAAAAGTTTTGGGACTCGAAAGTGCCTCCTACAGCTGGCACAGCTGCGAGGACAAGACTAGTAAGGACCAGAAGACCATGCGCATCTATAAAAGGAACCAGACCCAAAAACCACTTCAGTATCAGCTTTGCTACTCTCATACATTCTTCCATCCCATTTGAGCAAACCATTACTTTCAAAATGATTCATAACTATACCTACTGGTACTATGACTGCGCCAAAACAATAATCTCATTATAATACAATGACACAAAGACTGCAACAGAATAAGCAACATAGCACTCACAGGTAACCTCCATTTTTTCTTCGGCAGGCATCTTCAAGACAGGCTGGATCTTTTTCTCTGATATACCGTTTGGTAGATTCCGGTTCTCTTTGTCGTTCTGAGCTTTCAGCAGTTCTTGAACCTCTTTATCCACTTTGTCGTCAAAGAGAACGTACTTGAGGGTCAGGGCAACAGCTAATGCCAAAGTCAGACCATAGTCCAACTTAGCAGTGAGGAACCTGTTTTTAATCCGTAAGTACATGTTTATTAACCACAGACCTTAAGATGCTAACAACATAGAAAAAAAGCACTTTTAAGTGTTGACAAATTGTTGACAATTTTAGACGGATCATTGCAATATCTAACATTACTAACATGCTTATAAAGTAAAAGTGTTAATTTCATGGAAATAGATAGGCCCTTGTTGGGAAAGTTCAGCGCACAGTTGCCTGTTGACATTTAATAAAACTTTTAATCGGCAAGTGTCTCCTCTCCACAATAATAAACCTTCAAATTCTGGAGGGTATGCCCAGCTGAACATACACTAGTTCAGTGATCTGGAGATAGTCCTCGCAGGAGAACACATCAAAAGCAAACACGTTAATATGTTAATATGGGAGACATAAAATCAAATTATCATTAGTAACATTAGTCATGCATAACCTGAATCATTTACATAGACATAACCATTTCTTTTAGATACATAACGGTATAAATCAGTACTGGGTTTTTCACTACCCTCTAAAAATAAAACGTGTTTCAACCCATTCATATCGTATCTGCACTTTCCCGAAATATTTGGTACACTAAAAAAACCTTTCCTCACACAAAGTAGAGATGTTTAATTCTAATACACTTGAAAAGGAACAAGGGTAAGGGCTGTCATTGATTTATAATAACTTAAGGCACCCATGATTTTATTAATTTCCTATGAAATTATCGACTTTCTCATAACCAGGTTTTTTAAAACCCTTTTGAACATTGCTGAAATAGCTTCTTCTGTGTATTTTTAAAGAAAAACTTTATGAATAGTGTGAAAAGAAACCCCATAAAATTAACCACCAAAAAGCACAGAGAGTTTCTTAAAATGCATTTTTCTCAATTTTTTTTTTGAAAGACTCTTCATCACTAGAATCCTAAAATCTCAGCCACTATCTCTGCAGAAAATCCACAAATATACGAAGATTTGGCCGTTACAGGTACCTCACTAGTTATTTATTTAAAATTGTAGTTAAAGTTTGAGATTTTGAAATTGATTTTATGCTCGAAATTTGGACCAAAAAAGGCACCTTACATTAAAGTCTAACAAATTTCGAAACATTGAAAGCATATTCAAAATAACTAGCCAGGTACCTACACTATCTACTTGATATCTAAACAAAATATTAACAATATGCTTTTCACATTTTAAGGATTTTTTATGTTATATCATTTCAATATGGGCGTTGGTGTGACAAACATATTGGGATTGAAACTTTTTAAAACTTGATTTAATTTCTTGGAGAGTACTGAATATCTTGGGAAAGTTTTTATTCAAAATACTTCTTTTTTTTTAAAACGTTTCCTGGACACAAATATATGAGAGAGAATGTAAAAAAACAACTAAGTAAAACGAAGTGATAGTAATCCAAAGTTCACCAGTGAGAACGCAAAACCTGGCTTAATTTTGTACACACATTTTGATCAACTGTGAAGACTGCATTTTCAATACATGCTTGTTTGACCAATTTTTAAAAAAAGATAAAAATGAAAAAAAAAAAAGCCAAAACACTGCCAATTAGATAAAGGAAAAGGAAAAAGTTTTGTTCTACCTTGCAACATAGAACTGCCACAGAGGGATTTCTGGCTGAATCCTGTGGTCCTCAATGTTCTCCAAAGAACCTGCACTTTGACCACCAGGACTGACTGGCACGCTGTTTTCTGCGATGAAGCGGCTGTGAGCGTGGACAAGAACAAGTCCTGCTGACTGTGCGTTGTAAGAAAAAAAATTAAACAAATATTATGCGTTGAGCTAAGCAACACTTTGAACGGTGTGGGATAAACATGCATAAATTAGACAGGCACTGCGAAGTTAGGAAGGTTAGTTGTATAACTTTGTACATCATGGAATTCAAAGGCAATTCGGCATTTTATACTTTTTTTTATCTTGTCAATTTTTTTTTCAGTGACAAAATATGCCAACAAGATAAAGATTATCCTCCTGTTAAACAAGAGCATCCTAGATACACAAAACAAAAACTACAGAAAAAAATAATTATGCTCTGACTGCCAAACTAATCAATAAATTTTAAGTGCCTTTACATTTGCAGAGTTCAGCAGAACATGAAACAGATATGTTATGATATTCATTGATCTGCATAAATTAAAAACACCATCTGGTGTATATGACAGGATGGCTGTGCTAATTCAACCAATTAGTAATACCATAATAGGACATTAAGGAACGCCTGAGTGGAAATAGATGCCATATTGATGACCATTAACTAGACATAAGGTCAACAGAAGAAGAAAATATATCCACTACAAATGGTCGAGCAGCAAGCTGATTTTAGCTAAAAGAAAAAGAATGGAAATCACCAAAAGTAAAATAATATAAAGTTAATGAGAATTCTTGATACATATTGAGGCAAAATAAAACTAGACCATGTCATTGAAATAATTTATAGACTTCCAAGAAAAGATCAGTTGGATCAGATAATGGAGAGGCATAATCTGATCAAAGAAAGAAAACACTTAACCTGTTCCATTGTGATAAGATCCATTTGAAATTTCGGCAAAGCATCCTAACATTTTAATTCCTTTCAGCAATAACCCTAATAATGACTACTAGAAATACAGTTCAGGTATTAATAACAAATTCTGACTACACAAAAAGGCAGCACATATTTATAAACATGTATCTACAAATAACAGTCGTTATACTTTACCATTTCATAAGAAACACAGCATTCTGATATGTTCCCACCCACGATAACGGTGGTCAAAGCCTAAAGCCTGTTGCATAACTCATGGGTGTACAGTGAGCAACGTGTCAACCGCAGGACTACTTCATTCATCTCAAAAACCTACATAATATATTCCTGGGTATTGCGCAAACCCCAACACAGATAATGCGATACAGTATTAATTGATCTCTCCCTTGCTCACCATGATGATTTTCACCCTCTGTGTAACAGGATTGGATTTCTTCACTTCTTCTTCCTTCTGTAATACTTTGGCGAGCTGTTGCAATTGCATCAGAGGCTTGCCCTGGTTGCGATCACGTGACACCTGAAAAATGTATTAACATCTACCTTTACTCACAATACAAATAACACAGTGACATCAGCATCAATACAAAAATATCTCACGTCTTTAACTTTAGGACAGTAACTTTCAATTTTAAAAGGCATGATCAGAAAGGAAAAGTCAGTACAAAACATTCGCTGAATTATCAATCACTTTTCAGAATGTTGCCATTAATTAAAAATAGCTGAAAGCAAGAAAACTTTAATCAAAAGTACAGTCAAACCTGTCTAAGATAGCCACACATTGCCAAGGAGAAAAGAGGTAACCTCAAACAATTGATCCTCTTGGAGAGTCATAATTTTTTTTTATGCATGGGGATGGTGAGTGTGTGTGTGTGTGTGTGTGTGTGTGTGTGTGTGTGTGTGTGTGTGTGTGTGTGTGTGTGTGTGTGTGTGTCTGTGTGTGTGTGTGTGCGTGTGCGTTTCTTTTGTGGGTGTGTGGTGGGGGGGATTGACGGTGGGAAGTGGTCGCTTGTACAGTTGTACGGGTGATTGTCTTGTGTTAGTGCAGATTCAACAGTAAAGCCAGTTTGGTTAAATAATTTTCATGTCCCCTGAAGTTTATAGATATGGGAAAAGAACAAAATTCATAGACCAACTAGAATTTCAGAACTCTTACCTCAAGAATTAGGGACAGGCAGGCGGGATAAAAAGTCATAAATGCTAAGTAATTGGCAATGACAGAGAGGCAGCCGAAGCAGCACATCGTCTCCAGCTGTCTCACTCCTGAAACAACAATGGAAAGAAATATATGGATTACTATACAGCATACTACAAGTTGAGCATAAGTGGCAGAGTTCGTTGGTTGTGGTAGTTAAGTTTTAGTAGAGGTTTTTCGATGCTCGCAACTGCATAAGGTCATATGAGCACCAAGGGGTGGATGTCAGAGAAGTCTTTACAGGGAATCAGGCTTACTCTGTTCACTTCTCTAGCTTCAACAGCACAAAGTCTGCTTCGACTATCAAGGTACCCCCGGAAAGAGCGAGTCAAAAGAGTGAGACAAACATACAAAAGAAGTAGAGGAAAATGACGATAGTAAGGAATAGGAAAGAAAAAGCAGCAGTTCCATGTTGCTGTTCGGGCACAGTTGTGAGCATGACATTGTTGAATCAGCCCATTTACCATTCTACTGTGCATAAGAACAAGTTAATGTCTCCCCTTTGGGAATGGCCTAAAGACACTTCAGTCAGTGGCACCGCCGCGGGTCGAGTTCGTTGTGGTAAGACTAAGAGTCTTGCAGCACTTGCAACACAATCAGGTCATAAAAGGGCTGAAGATTAGAAGTATTATTATAGAGAGTAACAAACAGAAAGGGAGGAATGTTTAGGAAGATATATACTTGATACGAAAGAAGGAGCAAACCACACCAGAGCACCCACCTACCACCTACTAAAGCAAGTAGCAACAGTGAGCTGACAATACACTTTTGCCTGCTTAACTCTTTGCAACTGCCATGGCCTTCACCGGCCTCATCAAGAAAGGAGTGAACCATGTAAAAACAGCTCTGCTGGAATAGCACTAAAGTAGCTTTTACAGGTCTGACTCACTGTATCTATAGGAGATTTTTACATCACTATCCTGCATATATTTTAGCTTCTTGACAAACAATCACTTTACAGATAGTTATCGAAGCAATTAAGGAGGGGTTCTGCAATATAGGGCAGAGTCTAATTGCAGCAAGGGGTCAGAACAAAACTAAAACTCTACAGCCCTGGGTCAGCGCGCAGTCACACCACACCAAAACCAATATTCAGCTGGGAATGTTCACAACTGTTCGGCACATCATATCGAAAATATTGTCACTTAAAAAGTACCACAAATCAAAGAATAGAATCTCTAACCCGCTTTTTTCTTCTCATTTGCTGTCATACTCAATGCTGTTTTCAAATTCAAGCAGTTCTCATTCACCTCTATATAGCTTTCATACTACTGTATTCAAGTTGTTTGTTAAATAGCAGCATAAATGAAGGTAAGGGACTTATATTGCAATCATCAAATTTTCTTCAATTTCAAAATGTGATCAGTTCCAAACGGTAACCCTACCAATAAGCCTTTTTTTAACAATCTCAGTCCAGTGACTTTTGACAGCTGCTTACATTTTGCCTCTCTTGAAAAGTAGTATTTTAATTCGAAGGAAATAACTTTTTTTTTGTAAACAGTATGCTGCTCACATTGAGTTTTGTTTGCAACTTTCTCAGCTTTGAAAATAACTATACTGCTGACTAGCAAATATCCCATATTCATTTCATTGACATTAAATTTTAATAATTTTGAAGAACAAGGCCAGAAAAATACAGCCCAGGAAATTGCTTTCATAACAATTGTCTTTATTATATAGGACAGTCAGTAACATAATTAAATGTACAATCCAATGTGTTTACAATAATTACGTAATGAATGTAACATTAGGACTCAGGACTTTCAAGTTCCAAACGCAGAAATAAGTAAGTCCTAGGCAAAACTCATGTTGTGGCTCCTCCTCTCACTTTATTTGAAAGATTTGTTCAACAGTTTTAAAAATTGAAAGATTTGTTCAACAATTTTCACAATAATATGTGGTATCACAAACGTAACAACAGGCTACACCAATGACTGGTGCAGGAGTTAAGCTCTTAACCTTTTATGCAAGGCGTCAGTTCTTTTCCAGGTGTCAGTTCTTTTCCAAAGTGGGAAGGACAATTTTCAACATTTTTAAGAATGTCTCCGGCTTTCAGCCGGAACAAATTTCCAGACCTGCCACTCTATGAAATCTCAAAATCATGATCTCAGGAGGGGGGGGGAAAATCAGGATTTGGTGAAAAAAATGGGGATCAAGAGCAAATCACCAAGGTGACAGCCACGCTGACTTGCAAATTTTCCAGGGGTGTCATAAACATATGCCCTTTGCGTGTGTTTGTTTTTGTTTGTGTGCATGTGTGTGTGCTTTTATGTGTGTGCGTGCGTGTGAGTGTGTGCGTGCGTGTGAGTGTGTGCTTGCGTGTGAGTGTGTGTGCGTGTGCGTTATCACTATATCTTTTAAAATCCTCAAGCATCACATCAAGCATTCCTAGTCAATGTCTAACACCCCCCCCCCCACCCCCCTCAACACTAATAAGTCCCAAAAGATACTTCAACCAGTGTGCATGAATTTAAGTTGGCCCCGTCAACAGACGGCCCCGGACACACGCGGAACTAACACGCCAAAGTCATGTCACGTGATGCGAACATGCGATTGAAACAGTTTTACCATTGCAGGTCGGGTCAGGTGGATTGCCTGACTCGTCGCCTGGAAACACGCATTTTTTTTTTAGGCGATGAGTCGGGCACAATCGGCTTGTGCCACGACATCCTCTTAGTGCCCTCAATCTGGCTAGCAAACCGACCCAGCCTGACCCGACTCCCAATGGGCACCCAAACACTCTGGGCGAACGACAGTCGTTCTAGGCTAACAACAACGACCGACCGACCAAATGTACCAACAAATCTCTTATCCCTCATATGTGTTCAGACCAAAGCGACGACAACGGCCGATTGTTAGTTTAGTCAGCGCTGTTAGTTGTGTAAGGGTTATAATGACTGTCGCACATCCGAGTGTTTGGTGTGAACGTGCAGTTACTAGACCTCGGATGAGCCTTGTTATGTAAGTAACAGGAGAACTACGAATATTATCAATTATTTGTATGTCGCAATTGTAACAGTTATCAGGCCATCATCGGAGAATTCTGAGTGCGAGCAGAGATCAAACACAACTTGGGGGATGGCTGTTTGGCAGGTGCTCTGGTGTGGTTTGCTTCTTCTTTCCTATCAAACATCCATCGTCTTTATTTCCCCTCCTTCTTTTTTGTGTTTGTTACTCTCTTGTAACACCTCTAATCTTAGGCACTTATATGACCTTATTGTGTTGCAAGTGCCGTGAAACACTTACTAAAACTATAACAACTTGGCAGCGAGTCAACTACTAAACCTGGCATCGATATTTCTGAAAATAATGCTCCGAGTTACTACTGACAAAAAGTTCAAAGGATAGAGAAGAAGGCAGAGTAAGTTTTTAGAAAAATCTGGTGCAACAGCAGACTGGAACAAAAAATCGGGATGCTTGAGATTTGGGGGGGTGGGGAAATCGGGATATAAAGACTAAATCGGGATGAGTGGCAGGTCTGTATTTCACACAAGCCCATGGCAGCCTGCCATTCAAATGTAAATTGGGTAGATGGGGGTGCAAAATATTTACAAAAAACAACATTCCTTAAACTGCTGTCACAAAGCACAAGAAATAAAAACAAATCAACATCAATTTTCACAATAACAGACCCAGCCACAAAAAACTGACAACCTACCTGAGAGGGTGCCAACTCCAATAGCAAGAGTTTCAACGATGGCATCTAATGTGAGAGCTGGTCCTATAATAGCCATTCCTCTCCCTATGTTCTTTTGTAGTTCATCTTGACTGACAGCTGTAAGTGACAGGCGGGCCAGGGCACTAGCCTTTGACAGGTCAATCAGCAACAGGAAGAAAGGGAGCGCTTCGCTGGAAGTACAAGAAAAAAAAACTTAGGAGATGTAGACTTGGGAACATTACTAACAAAGGCAATCCACAGAAAAGACACATGGAAAATTCACTGCTCTGGTGATTTACTAAGACGTCAGAAAAATTTACTGGTCTGGTGATATAATATTAGAAAAAAAATTTTGGATCAATTTTGACAGGAAATTGTAAGACTTGACGAATCTGTTTTGATTGGATTGTTTTGCATGGAAGATTACATTAAAAAATGTTTAAAAGTTACCACTCTGGTTCAGAATTTTGTAAATACTCAGAAAATTATTGAAATTTGAGCCTGAACAACAAGCTCTCCTGCAGAGCTAAAGTACCCGTTTTCAATGCATCATTGGTACCATCACAATCTCAACCATTCATTTCATCTACATGCCATTCACACCTCTTTACAGAGGCTTTTAGTAAGAAATTGGGTTTTTTTTAACGTTTATAGAGGACAACAAAATACATTGCATTTGGATAGTCATATATCATGGATTTGAAAAAGCAGTTCTCATTCAAAAACTAAGAAAAGTATGGCACTGTGCAATAATCTGTAAGCACATCATCCCAACAAGCACACAAAGCTTCACAAGAAAAGACCAACACCCCTTCTGAAACTTAATGTTTCCAGTCCCATATCCTAACTGTAGTTTCCAGTGTTTATGCATCTTTTACTGCATTTGCAAAAAATTGTAGCTTCTAAACTTAAACAAAAGAAATTATCCATTTATAAGATTAAAAGCTATATCTTGTAACAACTGGCTTCTCTATAATTAAAAAATAATGAGAAAAGAAAGTGACAAAAAACTGTTAAGAAAAAAGCCTAATATGCGTTCTCATTCATTATTTGTAGTTCAGGACCAGTTTCCATAATTAATTTACAAATCACTGCTTGGAAATCATCATGGTCATAAGACAAATGACCTCTCTTTAATCAGGTTTCTTGTTATTGGTATAATAGTAAACATGTCTGTTACCTACAACAAATCCTCAATATAGCAGGATTTGGCTTTTAGTACAAAATATCCACTTTTGCTCCACTCAAATGTTTAACTTCAGTACGCACTATTTTACACTTTAAACTTTTCTTGCAATTGTTATCATGGCGAAATGCATTATCCTCAAACAATTGTCAAAGACAAATATTACAATCAAATAAACCAGAAGAATAGAAGTGAGATTACATTCCCCTTGCAGGTTATTTTCAAAGGCAGTAGAAAAATTCAGCTATTTTCTGCAATATCAGCATGTTAGCATTGAGATTTTTTAAAAAGGAAACTCTAATATTTCCAATCTTTGAAAATTCACATTTATTAAATGTAGTATGAACCTCTTCAAACTTACTTGAGCCCATCCAAATTAAATCCAATTAGATTGGCAAAGGCAATACTGAAGATGAAACTTGAAAATATTGTGAAAACTCCAGCTAAACCTGTAGAAACAAACAAAAACAAAAATTAAAATGTTAAAATTCAGAATTAGTCCAAGATAAACCCCGAAATATTTTTCAACTTCATTCAACGGGCTTGTTCAAGATCTTTAAATTTAAAAGAAACACCAGTGGATTCATTTTAGTAAACTTTAGAACTTATTTATGTGCCTCCCACAACTATCATGAATAAATAAAAGGAAAATGACTCAGAATGTTTATTTGACCACGCAATTATCTTCATTTAATTTATTCTATTGATTATTCAGACACTATCACATTTCAGCAAATCTAAAGACCTGTATACTTCACTTGTTTACAGTCTCCATAAATTATGAGTAATAATTACTGTAATAGTGTTGTGACTCAGTGGAGCAGAGGAAGATAATAGAAATAATACTAGATTTGACATTAACTTATTCAATTACAACCAGAAGATAAAAATGACACAACCAAACAATTAACCTTTTTTTACAATCTTCAAAAAACGTCTAGCACTAACTTCAGCAGATACCAAAGTGATCACAGTGTTATACTTATCACACAAAGGGGAATACATTGCGAAGAAAGAAACCATGTGAATTTTTTTCCTTGGAACAAGACAGATGACCATCATCCTCAACAGTAATTAACTCCTCTCCGCCAAAACGACAACGACACAGCCCGTGTCGTTTTCGTTTATCCCCATTCGCCAGAATGACACAGCGTGTTGTTTCCATTTCCCTCAAACACATTTCCATCCAGACCTCTCAATCCATGTTTACAGGTCAAGTTAAAAATAGACATGATGACCCTTCCCTTCTTTGTGAGAATTCACAACTTTGAAGACATATTTTTCAAATGGTAACGCATTGTATCACCGACAATTTTAGACTTCGTGGGAGTCATTTTTACAGATCAGCAGATTTAAATCTGGCAGTTCAGGAAAATCCATGAAATCATTTCTAGTTGATAAGAGTTAATAGATAAGAAAAAAAAATTACTTGAGTCAGAGTAAAATAAAGCAGCACAAAAAAAAGGGAAGCCCCCCCCCCCCCCCCCCCCCAATGTTTCTATGAACTTGAACTTCTTGTTTACACGTGTATAAATTTTCACAAAACTGGGCAAATACAATAAAATGAAATATAAGTACATGGTTCTCTAATAATCTTACCCAATAAATACTTTGATCCCAGTTTCCTCAAGTTTCTAAACTGCAGGTAAATGTAAATGATGGCGAGACATCGAGTCAGTGACAAAATAATCATGTCTGAGCTTTTCAACTCCTGAAAATAAAATGAAAATATGACACAAATAAGTTCATAGGGACAAAAAAGGTAACATCTTATGTACAAGTTATAGTATTAGTTATTAATACAATTTTAGCTCATAAGCTTTTTAATAAAGTTGAAGACTTACATTAAGGAAAGTAATACAAAATTCACATAATCACTATATTGTCGGCATGTGGTGCATTTGTCATCATCATTGCCTTTTTCACCCTGGGTCAGGGTATAGGCCATAAACAAATGCTCTCCACCTTTCCCTATCCTGGGCTAGCCTTCTGATGTTATTCCATGTCTTCCCACTTTTCTGTACATCAATTTCTGTGACTCTTCTCCCCGTTCCACATGGTCTTCCCCTTGATTGTCTACCCTGTGGGTTCCAATCCAAAACTTTCCTTGTTATGCGGCTGCCTGACTTCCTGAGAGTATGTCCAATCCATCAAATGTGGTGAGCCACAAATTTTTACATTTTTTAAAACTGCAGTGTCTTAATCTGTGGTATTTGTTACATATACATTCCTTAACACTTTGCCGCCTCATCTCGCCGATTAGTGATGTTTACCTCCCAGTTTCTTTGGATTTTCCCTAAAATGCCTTTGCCTTTGATGGCAAGGGTTTTTACTATATGAGCCTTGTGATGGCAAAGTGTTCAGAAATGTTTTGTCATAACTAAAATTCTTAATGTTGAAAAATAGAAAGAAAAGATACATAAAATGTAGAGACAGTTGTAAGAAAAATGCAGTAGCTTTTGGGTTTTTTTAATAAATCCCTTCTCAACAATTTTGCTCTTTGGGCATAATACATTTGAACTGCTTGCAATAATTCAAAATATCAATGTGGCTGAATTCAAAGAACAACGTATAAAGCAATGAAAAAAAGAAAATCTCAGAATTCATTTTCTTTTTTTTTAAAGAAAAAATTATATCAATCTGACAATTTCATCAGCAGTTCTTACATTTTTAATATCAATCCTTGGCAGTATTGTCATCAGAACTTTTCATCAACATAGAGATGGAATTTATAAAGTTTTTTAAATTAAAAATCCTAATTATTTGACTCTATCAGAAATAAACTTATTGCATGTTACAGGCAGTCACAGAGTAAAACATGAAGAGAAACTAGTCCCCCAGAAGAAATCTTTTTTCTCACATGATATTACATTACTTCAACAGGTCAATAGGGAACTTTTCTACTTATTTCCTTTACGGCTAGTGCAAATTTATATTTCTTGCTACTCCTTTCAAAAGCCTTTTCACAACATGTATTTATTTTCAAGAAACTTATTAAACATTTTTAATATAAAAGCAAAGCAAGTAGCATGATTTTGTTCCTAACAGAAAAAGTCATCTTACCTCTTCATTGGGACAATTGTAGTTCCAGCCACAAACTTTGCTGTTGGTCGCCCAAAGGCTCATTGACATTAAGGATATGGTGACCGTAACTGTGCCAACAAGCACTTCCCAAGGGTGACTGGCACAAAATTGTCCATGAGCGTGGAACAATCTAGACAACATCTTTCCGGGAGTTAAGTTGTGTGGTATTACCTGAGAAATAAAGAGAGACAACATCACTAGTTTAATAATCACAATTTCCCAAAATTAATTATGGTAATCTGAAAAATAAGTTTTTATACCCTGAAGTGAACAAACAGAAGTGGAACACTATGAAGGAAGAAAGCAAGCCTACTTGAACCATGATGTTGCTTTATAAGAAGTCACCTCCACACTTTTCTGCCTGGCATGCACAAAAGTGATTGCCAAAAACTACTACGCTCCTTTATAGCATCTTGCAGGGTCATGTACGAAAGTTACATTGAGAGAATGGGGGGGAGACGGGAGGTGGGGGTGACAAAAATACATATTAAGTCTTATTAAGATGTCATATATCTATGATAATTGGATCATAAAATAATTATGCTCAGTAATAGTTATTATTCACTTCACCCATGGCCCCAAAAAAACAATTGAAAGCAGCTGATGATGAAGGACGTATGCACTGGTAATAATAAGGTCATACGTGCCTTAACATTACATGAGTTTGTATATTGTATACTTGTTAGTTTAAACTTGAGCAAGCATAATGAGTGAGTGTTGTGTCTTCACTTTGACTTCTTGCCTTTTTTAGGATCATGACATTAATTTAAAAAATGACACTTCATTTCATTTCACTGGAACAACCCGGAATGGACCTCAGACAAACCAAACTTGGCAGGGACGCGGTAAATATAGTATGAGAACATTTCAAAACAAGGACTACAGGTAAAATAAACAGTCTTGTCTTCCTGACGATGGCTTGTTCCCTCTTTTGCGTTGAAATTGAAATTAAGCATATGAAGGTCACAAAATTATGCTGTCATGTTACTTTGCTCATTGCCGCCAACAAATTAAAAAGAGTAGGAGAATAGTGTAATCAGGTCAAAAAGCTATGATAAAATGCCTTTATGTGTGCCTGTCTGTATTTGTATGTTTGTTTGAGCTTGAGTGAGCCTAACTAACATACTACACATTTCAGACTCTGCAGACTTCAGTAAACAGCAAATTGGAGGGACAAAAAAATAAGACAGTATATGTTTCCACAAAAACATGGCTGTGTGAGAGGACAGTAATAAACAAAAGAGAAGAGAGACACATACACACACTGACAAACACTAATACAGACAGTGAGAGAGAGAAAGAGAGAGAGAGAGAGAGAGAGAGAGAGAGAGAGAGAGAGAGAGAGAGAGAGGGAGAGAGAGAGAGAGAGAGAGAGAGAGAGAGAGAGAGAGAGAGGGAGAGAGAGAGAGAGAGAGAGAGAGAGAGAAAGAGAGAGAGAGGGAGAGAGACAGACAGACAGACAGAGAGAGAGACAGAGAGAGAGAGAGAGAGAGAGAGAGAGAGAGAGAGAGAGAGAGAAAGAGAGAGAAAGAGAGAGAAAGAGAGAGAGAGAGAGAGAGAGAGAGAGAGAGAGAGAAAGAGAGAGAGAGAGAGAGAGAGAGAGAGAGAGAGAGAGAGAGAGAGAGAGAGAGAGAGAAGAGAGAGATGGACAAAGAACATTATTTGTCCAGAACTTGAAATGAGGTGAAAATACACACAGGTCGGGTTGTTTTTTTTGGTAAGTTTTACGATGCTCGCAGCTGTAAATATGAGAGTGCAGGACACATCATTAAGCATTTTCAGTGTTCAGTTTGGTAGGAATTAATTTTGAATTTGGCGCGGGTGGTGGTCGAAACCTACTCACATCAATTTTAGGCCCACGAAGGGATCTTTAACATACTACATACACACAACCTGCACAGAGGACCTCCTAGATTTTATTGTCCCTCTATTCAAGAAGGCTAGGTGTTAGATCTTACCTACTCTAAGGTCAGGGGTATGGCAGATAGGCAGCAGTAAGAAGGAGCCACGAAGTAGCAGTTAAAAAGTCTGCAGGAGAATGAGTCGAGAGCGCGGAAGAGGGGGCTAAAAGTGGAGACAAAAGCAGGCAACAAAACATGGTTAGAGAGCAAGAAATGAGGAGAAAGGAGAACATTTTAGAGAAGAAAATTTTACGTTGCTGTCAGGTTTCGAACTCGCAACCTGTTAAGTAAGAGGCGAACACTATACCTCCAGACCAAGAGAGCACCCCACCCAAGGTTTATTTGCATTTTGTATATTTGCCATGGTCGGTTGGTTAAGTAATATCAATCTACTGATGTTTTGGAGACTTATTTTTCCCCCCCAACTCCAATTCTTGGAAGATTCGTCTGAGGAAAACTATTTTTGGTCAGGTGGGGGTTGGCAGTTCTGGACAAGTTGCACAAATATAGTTAATGGAAACAGAAATGTGTCTTTTCATGCTATTTTCAAGAAGTCGCACATGGCCAGACAGAAATAAAATTCTGGAAAGAAAATCTGATTTTTTTAAAAAACCAATTGGGTGTCATTGACAGGAAAAAAAAAAATCAGAGAGCTCGAATTTTATTGGGGTACCTGGTATTGGCAAATCTAGGTTTATATATCCCCCACTATTTAAAATTTCTTTACTTAAGTAAAATATCCGGGGAAAAATGTCAACTTAAAAAGGATACTGGTTTCACTGTAATACAGTCAGGCAAGTATCTACTGCTCCCTCTACAGTTGTTCATCAGTTTACATTCGTTACCCATTTATTTCGTATAAAATTCAAAAATAATTTAATGTAACATTTAATTGCTCCTGCGAATAAAAAATGGAATGACAGTACACCTCAAATTGAACTTTCAGCACATCTTTGATCAGGATGACTTCACAGGTTGAATTATTGTGTATTCAGTTTCAGAATTTTTTAATTTGTACAAGCCTCAACCTTATTTGAGTCCTCCAATTCTAAAATAATTAGAGGAAGTTCTGCTGGTAGATTGCTTTTGTTCTTAATAAACACGAAAACTCAAAGACAGCTGGATTCCTAGTCTATCCCCAAAGCTTGATGCCGACCTGTATTAATCAAGCAAAACAAACCACACGCAGACTTTCGTAAAATTACCTCAAAGTGAAGAAGGTTCCCAGTTGTCGAAAAAACTATTTTTGAGCAATTGGGTTAAAAGGCCTAAAAAGTCGTACCTCGTTAAAAATCTAAACATTTGGTTTCATCAGAAAACACGTTATTTCTAAACATATAGAAAGGATTTTGTACTCTTATTTTAAATCCAACCCTTTTTATATAATATTAACTATTTTTGCAACATGTCGTACTTCATCAAAGGTTAAAGATGTGTTAGAAATCGGGTCAACATACATTAAGGGTATTGTGATCACTTCTTGACACAATTTTCAATCGAAGTGGCTAGCAAGTACGGCTAGACTGCCAGTCTAGCCGTACTTAGATCTAGGTTTGGCCCTATCGACTCAAGCCTGTTAAGTACACAGGTCTCATTAGATCTAGATCTAGTAATAATTTAGGTTCAAATACATGCAAGTCAGTAAGGCACCTTTCCTTTTGGTTTTGTCTAAAATACAAATACTTTAGGCATTGCAAACTAAAAATTTCATTTACAATTCAGCCATCAATATTAAGTACGACTAGCCTGACAGTCTAGCCGTCCTTAAGTACGGCTAGCCTGGCTGTCTACCCGTACTTAAGTACGGCTAGACAAGAAGTCTAGCCGTACTTAGTCTAGCCGTACTTATCTTAGGCCCTATTAACATTAGAAAACAGGAGGTTTAAAATACATGCACTGTCATTAAGGCACCTGGTTTCGTCTCAAATACAAATACTTTAGGTACTGCACACTAAAAATGTAGGCCTATTTTTGGTAAATGGTCAGTCTAGCCATCATATTAAGAATAAGTACGGCTAGACTGCCAGTCTAGCCGTCACTAAGTACGGCTAGCCTCTTCCATTTTCAATTCAAACCCCATCATACTGTCAAACCTGCTCTAGCTGTGTCTAACAGCCATCTGCTAAAGGCAATCTAATCACCTGTGCAAACGTCCACTACCCCTTTCTCCCCTTCCATTTTTATTTTTAAAAATAATGACAGTCTAAGAGAAGTCATTCCACTCACAACTAAGTCAGGACAATTTCGACAAAAGATGGCAAAAATGTCAAATTTTCCCCCAAAACCCCAAACTGGACCCCCCCCCCCCCCCCCCCAAACATAAAAACAGAAACAAGCACAACTAGATTTTCAAGAATAGATAAAAACACACGGACAAGATCGAGTAGAAACCAATACAAAATATACAGTCATCCTCAAATATTCATGAAAATGTGCAACGAGACTGGGAAAGGCTATGAGATTCTTTAACCAAAGTGCCAGTGCCGTTAATGACAGCTCTCAGTAGGTCTCAAAGCTGAATGTAGGCTATGATGACAAACTAGGCGTAGAAAAATCTATAGTTAAATCATATATTATTATAAGGCCGTGAGTCCGAATAACATTTTATCATATTCGGACTCAAGTCCGAATAACATTTTTTCATCAAGTCCGAATATGAAAAAATGTTATTCGGACACGGTCTGGAAAAAAGGAAGTGTCTCCGTTCTATAGATCTAACGTTCAGTGCTTCCAATTTTCCGCCATTTTTTAGTTTCCCCCACATTTTATCTGCCAATCCGATGCCCGCCGCATCATTGATACGCCCCCCCCCCCCCCCATGTTTCCCACTTTCTTTGTGGTAGAAAAAGGTAAAATCGAAGATTAGCAGATCACCTGGCACCTGCATATTAATGAGCTGTGTAAAAAAAAAGACCGATTCGTTGAAATACACAAGCCTGTGTCATCTCGACTGTTTTACCAAGAAAAAGTTGTGTTGCTGTGTAGAGCCGAGCATACGGCAACTTTTGATTCCATAGACCAGCGCACAATTACATAGATCTACGTCAAGACTAGCTTATTATTGTTATGATCAGTTGCCGGGGGGGGGGACTGACGCGTACGCGACGTTCAACGCCCGGGCCGATAGTGCCCCCCCTCCTCGACACGCACACACAGCCACACGTGTGCAGGCCGCCCATCCGACCCCGACACACGCTAACGAGCCATCTTTAATTGCTTCTGATGACCTCTTGACAAATAAACATTTATCTAAGCGCTATAACTTTTCAGGCCGGCCTCAAATTTATCATAAGATAAAAACTCGGCTCCTGCACAATTTAACGCCATTTTGACCGAAGTGATCCCGGTCTCTACCCAGCCTGAGGCGAGTCACAAGTGAGGCAGGACTGGAAGCCGGAGTCACGAGTCACAGGAAGTCGGCAGTGATGTCATGCTGGACAAGAATCAAAGTCCGAATAACATTTTTTCATATTCGGACTCGAGTCCGAATAGTCACTTCGTTATTATAATGACATTTTAATTTCGAAGTGACTATAACTATGTCTCCAAACGCTCGGGAAAATAAACTTTACTCTATTTCTCCAAACAGTTTCCGTTCTCGAGATTTTTTGGTTATTTGCGAGATTTAGGCTTCATCTTTCATTCTGTCATTCTGCGATGACCACGAAGAAGCATTTTTTGCGTCGAATTCAATTACTAGAGCTAGAATCTAAATCTAGATCTAGAGATTTTTAAATGACTGAATATTCAGATACTTCAGTTGTGGTTGGGGCAAGGTCCCCGGACAATACTTGAAAATGCCTTCAAAAGGTACTGCGAGAAAACAGGACTTCTCGACCTAGGCAGTATAACCTATTTTGCATTTAGTCACCCCTAAACCAAACACAAAAATCCTTCATGTAAAAAAAAAAAAATCCCTCCACCCCACCGCGCCTCTTTCACACCTTATACACACACACAGTACACACTCACACACAAACACTCACTCACACACACACACACACTAACTCACGACACACATGCGCGCCCGCGAGCGTGAGAGCCACTCCTTTCGCAAATTATCAACAAATCTCGAGAACGGAAACCGTTCGGAGAAAGAGAGTTCAAATTTATTTTCCAGAGCTTTCGGAGAAATAGAGCCTACACGAAGTGATTGCGCACGCACATCGGAGTTTGAGTCCGAAGAGGAACGGAAGGCTATTCGGACTCGAATTCAAACTCGAGCCCGAATAGCCGCGGGAGGCTGTTCGGACTCGAGTCCGAATAGCTGCGGCCTTTGCATTTCGTCACCCCTAAAGCCTAAAGCAAACATTAAAGTCCTTCATGCAAATTTTTTTAAATCTCTAAATGCCCCCCCTCCTTTGTTCACACCTACGCACACACACACACTCACTCACACATACGCACGAGGGTCACTCTGTTCGCAAATTATCAACAAATCTCGAGAACGTAAACCGTTCGGAGAAAAAAGTCTATAGAGTTCAAGTTTATTTTCCCGTTCCTCTAGATTCTAAATCTCTAGATCTATATACATCTATTCATGTCTGATATTTTCCCATTTCCCCTATTTATTGTTATCAGTAGGCCTACTCTCTTTGGGTGGGTGTTTGTTTGTTTGTTTGTGTTTGTGTGTGTGTACGTGTGTGTGCTAGGTACAAGTTATGAACTTTATGGAAATGTACCTAGCGTACGCAGGTTCAAGTCTCGTTGTCTTCTTTCTAGATATCTAGATCTAGATATCTAGATCTAGATCCAGTGTAAGATTAGAATTAGATCTAATCTGGCTATTCCAGTAGGCCCTAGAGTTTAAGTAGGCCTATTATTATACCAGCAAAAAGAGGGAAGGACTTCCGTAACGAGCGACCACCCCATCAAACACAAACAAAAGAAGAGGCCTAGACCTAACCCTAACCCTACCCTTACCCCTCAATTCTGCTCTGTCTCATAGTGGTCGCTCGTTACGGAAGTCCTCCCAAAAAGAATCTTCCCTGATAAACACCAATGCCAATGTACTAGAGTTAGAGTGCCAGTTAGAGTACTTTCACAGTACCGGTGGCAATCTCTGGAAAAGTAGCAGTTCTAAGGAAATGATCAGAAATGAGAGTCGAAGATGAAAAACCATGTCAATTTCCTTGCACAACTGTTTATTTTTGAAGATCAAAACCAGATTCTATTGTGCAAGCCGATCTAGAGATCTAGATCTAGATCTAGAATCTATATTGAATTAGATCTAAACTAGAATCTAGATCTAGATATCTAGGTGCTTTTTCGGTAGTTCCCACCACCCTTATTTGAGCCTGACCTACATCTAGATCTAGATCTATACGTTTGATTTGCGGTGAGCTAAGATATCAAACCTAACAACAGCAAAACATTAAATTGTGGTAAAATTCAGGGGGGCATGTTTGTTAGGTCCCCCCTGAAACCCTCCTACTCTTGGGACGTGGGGCCAAAACCCGTGAATTGCGGGATGGGAACTACCGAAAAAGCGCCGATATCTAGAATCTATATCTCTAGATCCAGATCTAGATCTAGATCTAGATTATAGATCTAGTCTAGAGGAATCTAGATTTAGATCTAATCTAGATCTAGATTCTAGATCTAGATTAGATCTAGATTCTAGATCTAGTCTAGATTCTAGATCTAGATTTCTAGATCTAGTCTAGATATAGATATCTAGATCTAGATACCTACATGTTAGATTCTAGATCTAGAATCTAGATTAGATCTAGATAATCTAATCGAGATTAGAATCTACTAGATCTAGATCTAGATCTAGATCTAGAATAGGCTACCCTAGATAGATCAAGAATTTAGACCTACACTCCTACACTACACTGTACTAGATCTACACTCTATAATCTAGAAGAATACATGATCATGATGTCATTCCTTTATTGACAACATTTTCAGATTCAGACCTAACCCCCATCGAGAGCAATACACTATTGATTCGTCTATTATTACTAGATTCTAGATCTAGATTTACTATGCAGTGCTTTAGCCTACGTGATCAAGGCGTGATCAGCTGGTTCGCTGTGGTACAGATTTGTATGCAGTCAGATTTAACACTGCCGGGTCTGGGGACACCTTGATCTCTTCCACTTCTATCTTGAGTAGCCTAGATTCTAGATTCTACATTCTAAGAATACTCACTTGAAAAAAATAGCGGTTTCGTCAGATAGATCTATGTTGAATGTCAAAAAAATCCAAATTTCTTTTTAAAAGTCAGTTACACAAAACAGTTATGAAACAACAAGCGGCATTGTTTTCTCCTAATAAATTTTGACAAGTCCTGGTTCTATGGACTCACTCACTACGCCGCGACACTGACTCAAGGCAACAAAAGAGTGTTAGCCAGGTTTATATCAGACAATGTAAAAACCGCCAAATTTAAAGTGGCTAAAAGTACATGCTAAAAGTGGGGATAGCTAAAGCACGATCGGGTTGGTTTTATCGTCAGTAGGCTCGGCTATTGACCCCACAGAATTCTACACTTAGTGTAGAATTCTGTGATTGACCCTTATCGTTGGGCCTGACTCACATTAAAGATGATAATCATTGGAGGCTTTTTTGTTTGCATTTTTCTTTAGAATTTGGTTTCCTGGATCGATAACAATATAGATTTGGTAAAGTTAAGTTTTTGATTTCTTAACCGTATTCTGTCTTATTTATGTAACTATTATTCTTGTCTTAGGCTTCAGTCCACTAAAGTCCGCAGCTAGCATTATACAATGTATGCTGTAGACAAGTATTGAAGTGATGGACTTCGATATAATCCACTTAGGCCTACTTGAAGGGTTTATCATGACCCGACCAGTCTGGTAATAATTATAATTATAGGACTTGGTTACTCTATTTGCCTACCACACCCCAAGCCTGACCTGACAAGGGTTTGGGTTAAGGATTGTGGTTGACTTGTGAATCGTCAAGATGTTAGACCGTAAATTAGTAAGAACAGAAGTATGACGAATAGATTGTCAAGTGGACTAGGTCTAGTGGACTGGTACCGACCGTTCAGTATATAAATCTATTCATGTCTGATATTTTCCCATTCCCCCTATTTATTATTATCAGTAGGCCTACTCTCTTTGGGTGGGTGTATGTTTGTTTGTGTTTGTGTGTGTGTGTGTGTGTGTGTGTGTGTGTGTGTACGTGTGTGTGCATGCCTAGGTACACGTTATGATCTTTATGGAAATGTACCTAGCGTTCGCACGTTCAAGTCTCGTGCATGAGTCTGTCTTCTTTCTTAAAGGAATTTTAATTAAAAATCGGAACTGTTTTCCCAATGTTGACTGTTGACCTAAATTAGCCTACCTGGCAATGTTTTGGATCTGGAGCCACAGCCCTGCCCCTATGATGCATCGACTGAGGCCATTTCAGTTCTTTGATTGGATGCTATTTTAGTCCTAGTTCACGCCATAGTGGAGTGGATTTCCTCAGCTGGTTTCTCATGCTCGAATCGGCAGCTATCATGCCACCTCGCGGTGCCCAGCTCGAGTGCTCGCAAGTTGGCAGGCCTGAGGCCGACAGCTTGTCTTTAGTTGGGATAAAAGTAATGCACATGACATAACATAAAAAAACTGACACTTTGTTTTACAATATAATATGTTCATCTCCTAGTTTTAGATTGAACAAAAAACGAAATCGTTAATTAACTGAGCAACAGAAAAAGTACCTTTCTTTAGCTTGGACATCTATACAGAAAATATACAAAATGCAGAAAATGTTTTATTACATGTATTTATAATAAAATACATTTTAGTAAGATTCTGAAACCGTACAAATAAGCCGGAGGTCGGCTTGTTCCAGAGTAAACTCTCCGCACTTAGCCTAGTTACATACAACTGCAGAGTAAATGCAATGTAAATCAATCCTTCAATAATGAGCTGTTTTTCAATTGGTTACTTTTCCCCGGCTTCTTTGGTTAAATAGTATTATAGCCTACACCCCTCAGGTCAGGTACAGTCATAAATCTCTCTCTCTCTCTCTCTCTCTCTCTCTCTCTCTCTCTCTCTCTCTCTCTCTCTCTCTCTCTCTTCATACATCTATGCATCCCTAAACAATAATCCTTGGAGACTTCACTCATCTATCTTTCATTTTTTTTTTTTTTATTTCAAATGTGGGGGTGGAGTATCGTTTTTGTCAGAGAAGGAAAGTAACATCATTTTTGTGAGTATAGGTACGAGAAGGTAGGCTACAATATTGCTGAAATTGTATTTATTTTTTTGTTTGTTTATTTATTTGTTTATTTATTTATTTATTCATGCAATAGGTAGCAAATACAGCAGTACACAAAGATACAAGACAAGATCGAACAGTACAATATAAAGGTCGTGATAAAACAAAGTATAAATTAGAGAACGGCAACATTTGCAAGCAATCAAACAAAAGAAATAGTTGTCATGGCGACCTGAAAACAGTTCAAATTAAACAGCAGGAATTGAGAACGAGGAAGAATTAAGAAGAAACAGCAGGAAGTGCATGATGACATTATAATTATTAAAGATAGAGTGGGGGGAAAAAAGGAAAGTTTCGCGTTACATAAAGATTGGGTACTATAATAGATCTATCCTTTAACCCTGATGTGCATTTTGGTACGTGACGATTATATGAGACACCGACACTTTTACTTTTATGTTTTGTTTTTGCTATTATTGTCATTGTCATTTTAAAAAAATTTGTAATATCTTTTAGGTTTTCTTTGCGTGTTACTCTTTTTTATTGACCTTTTTTCTCCTTTTGTTTGTTTATTTATTGGTTGGTTTTGTTTTGTTTATGTTTTTATTCGTTGTCGTTTGGGGTTGTTTTTTTTTTAAGAAAGTGGGTCGAGGGTAATTATTGAGTTTGAGATGAACCTGGGTTTGAAATAAATCGACATCCTAGTTGGCATAACGTTATCAGTAAGGTTCAAGGCCGGTAAGATGCGTTCGAATAATAATATCGACCACAGATGGTCAACTCTAGGCCTACGTTGCTCAACTGAAATAATTGATTCCGCTATAATGCGCATGTGCAGTTTATCAATTATTATTATTGTTTTCTTGGTGTGCCCCCCCCTACTCTCTCTCTCTCTCTCTCTCTCT